GCGGACCCTTAGAGTTTCTTCTCTTTGGATCCTCCCCTGCTAGGACCTTGATCTCAGGCCTCCGGGGTTGCCCTTACAGCAGAAGAAACTCTCTACGGGATCAACCGGACAAGATTGCCAGGTTTGACGCTGACTCAGGCTCGGATTACAAGTCCATCCCGCCCTCGTCACCGCCCCTGCCATTTGTCCCCTCCTCCTCTACTCCTGTGGTCCCCGCACCCGTCATGCCATCCGGAGTCACTCCCACCGCAGACGCCCGGCTGGACTCACTCGAGGCGAAAATTGATAGCCTAACTGAGGCCCTTGCTTTACTCACCAACCAGGCTTCCGCTGCCGCTGCCGCCGCTAATAATGCTGGCAGACCCCAAACATCATCACCGGAGACGTCGATTCCGACTCCGACTCCGGTCCAGGGCGACTCCGAACCCCTTTTTGGCGATATCAACCTCGCCTCAAAATTGGTCTTGCGACCAAACCCCCCGTTCACCTTCAATGGTGACCGGAAACGCGGCCGCGCGTTCCTTTACGTGGTCCGCACCTACGCCCGCCTCGCCCCTGAGGCCTTCGTGGTCAACGGAGAGGCGAGCGAGGAAAAGGCCGTCCGCTATGCTATGTCGTTTATGGCAGAAGGACCTGCTCAGCAATAGGCAGAGCGCCACGGAAGCAAAGCCCCATTTCCGTTTCCGTCTCGGGGCTCGTTCGTTTCCGAGTTTCGACTCCGGTTCGTCGAGGAGAACGAGCAAGATCACGCTCTCTCCAAGCTGGAGACTTCCGCCTATCACATGGGTACAAAGGATGTCTACCAGTACACTGACGACTTCGAGGACCTGATGGACCTTGCCGGATTCGAAGACGCGCTGGTCAAGGTGACCAAGTTCCGCCACGGACTTGACCCCTTGATCAACAACGGAATCACGTCCTCGAACAACCCCCCAGACCTCCGGGATTACCTTAGCTGGCGCACCCGGGCCTTCTGTCAATACGAGGCCCTGGTCCGGGCCAAGCTGATCAAGTCAGCCGCCCCCAAGACGCCTGGCGGTTTGATTTGAACTCCGTTTCCGGTCAACCACATCCCGGCTCCGGCCCGCCCGCGGCCCGCGCCCCCGCTCCGGCGCCTCCAGCTCCCGTCCCTATGGAGTTGGATCGCACCAGGGCTCGGGGTGCCCCTCGTCGCGCCTGCTTCAGGTGCGGCGACCCAAACCATCTCGCCCGGGATTGCCCCCTCCCCGCCGATGTCCGCTCGATGGACATCCTCGACGAGGTGATCCAACAACTCGGTGATGAGATGTTAGCGGAGTTGATCGCCCGCTACACGGACACAGCTGCCCTGCTGGAGACGGCAGCGGAGTCGATGGCCGGAGAGGATTTTGTCCCCCGCGACGAGTGACTGGTGTGCCCTCGTTCGCGTCTATAAATCGTTTTGCCTCTTTGTATGATGAATGCAGTTCCTTGCCCTACAATGAGCCCAAAACGAAAGACACACCCTCTCCTGCCCCCGCCTCGACTCCGACTCCGTCTCCGACTCCGCCCGCGACTCCGGTCATCGTCCTTTGCCGCCTCACTGCCTGGGAAAGGAAACTGCCCAAGCAGTACACTGTTGCCGCTGCCCCTGGGGCAAACTCCCTCCACCTCCCGTTGGAGCTAGAGTCCACCACCAGCGCGTTGAAGCTCTTGCTCTCTGGGCTTGTCGACTGCGGTGCCACCTCCGACTTCATTGACACGAACTACGTTGCTCGGAATGGCATTCCGGTCTGCACCTTTGATCAGCCGATTCCGGTTTTCAATGTCGATGGCACCCCCAATGATGCTGGCTCCATCAAACAGATCACGGACTTGGTCCTGCGCTACAAAGGCCATGCCGAGCATGTTCAACTTGCCGTCACCCATCTTGGTAAACAAGACCTCATCCTGGGGTACTCCTGGCTGCGGAAGCATAACCCAGAGATCGATTGGGAAACCAAGGAGGTCAAGATGACGCGGTGCCCTCGCGGCTGCTCCACTTGCCGCGAGGAGGAACGCGTTGAACGGACTGAGCTACGGCGACTCCGGCTGCTCCAGAAGCGACTCCGCTCCGGCCCGTTCCCCTCGGTCTGCGCCATGGACCTTTCTGGGTCTGATGACGGAGACGATTCCGTCTCTGGTGACGACTCCGGCCTGCCTGATCTGACGCCGGACTCCGACGACGACGATGATGATCGTCAGCTTGAAGATGGTGACCGCATCTTCTACACCTCGTTCCGCCCCTCGGAGGAGATACGCGCTGGCAGTACTGTCTCGCAACGCCTGGCCGAAGCCTTCGCCAGGAACTCCGCCCCTCCGCCCTCCGAGATCCCGGACTGGGCTAAGGAGTTCCAGGACGTCTTCAACAAGGAGTCTTTCGACACGCTCCCGGAACGGAGAACCTGGGACCACGCCATCGAACTCATCCCCGACGCTAAGCCGACCAACTGCGAGGTGTACCCCATCTCGCCCCTTGAGCAACGCGAGCTCGACGCGTTCATCGAGGAAGGGTTTCGACGGGCCGGATTCGCCCCTCCAAGTCTCCGATGGCGTCTCCGGTCTTCTTCGTCAAGAAGAAGGATGGCGGACTCCGCTTCGTCCAGGACTACCGTGCTCTCAACGCGATGACTGTCAAAAACCGGTACCCCCTTCTGCAAAATTGCGGAGTTCTATCGTAAGTACCCTGGCAAGCCACGACATATCGCCTCCGCGACCTTCGACTCGATTCCATTCCGGTCTATGCGTCGGGACGCCGCATTCAAAGGGGGGGGGGTTGATGTCAGGGGAACCTCCCTTTCGGTTCCGACTCCGGTCCGGCCCTCCATCTCGCCCGCACAATCACCAATCCGTCAACGCCCTCCCGACGGTCGCCCTGGGACCTCGCCTGCGACGCCGCCGCCCAAGCCTTCTGTGCCCGACAGCGGCAGCTACGGACAAGCAGTATATAGTCAGCTCCCTAGCAGACGGACCCTTAGAGTTTCTTCTCTTTGGATCCTCCCCTGCTAGGTCAGCTTCATTTGTATTTGCTTACCAATGTTCACGCTTTGGCTCCTCCCCTGCTAGGACCTTGATCTCAGGCCTCCGGGGTTGCCCTTACAGTCACAGGTCACAGGCCTGCAGAATTGAATGAAATAGTACAGTGGTCTCTTATTAAGTAGAATCTAAACCTACTTAAGGCTCCAACTAATTACTATCCATATACACTCCAAGGCTGTATTGTATTGGGATATGGATAGTATCGAGTTATAACCCAATATATTGAGTATATAGTAGATAATATATATTGATCATGATCGGTACTAGTATTGGGAGCTTGGTTATATGACTATTACTCTCATATTAGGCCAGTTTTCACCCTAAGGCCTTACCGATCAGCTGCTCCAGTAGCTAAGTGCTTGGAGCTTTGCTTGAGGCATGGAGCTTAGAAGGCTTAGACTACTTTAAGGCCTTAGGGCACCCAAAAAAAGGAAATGTTTGAAGGCCCCAAAAATTGAAAAAGAGAAGAGAACAAAGATATGGCTAGTTGACCTCTGAAATATCGATTTCAATGGTGCTATCATTAAGGGTTGCTGACTTTGCCTCTCAAGGGGCCTGTGCAAAAAAAAAAAAAAAAAAACTCAGATATTGGGTCACAAAAAATGGAACAAGCACCAGTCGAATCGAACTGAAAGGGCGAATTAAATTGAATTAATGTGGTCCCTTGTTGAAGTCAGTGTTGGGGTCAAATCAGGTCATTTAGGGCCCAATGAGTCAGTGATGCCTTGTCTGATCCACGTGGCCAAACCCGGCCCGGTCCGGCTTCTGTCACATCCATGTGTATAATTTGTAAGGTATTGTTTCGCCATAAAGCAATGACCTTTGTAAATCCTCCTAACTTGTGACTGTCTACGTGTGTTGTGAATGGTCTGCTAACTGTTGATGGTATAGTCATCTAGCTTGGCTTCCTAGCTTTCCAGCAGTACCCATGACATAAGCAAGACCCGAAACAGTGTTCCAATGATGTCAATAGTTGATCCGTGTGAAGCTGCTTGAACTGTGGCCTTATAGAACCTGTATAAGAGTCTGCTACTAGAGTATTTAACTCAATTCAAATGCTATTTTTGGTGTGACATTCAATACGAAAATTCAGTATAAGTTGTTTCCCAATTAGGCAACTCTTGGTGCCCGGCAATGTCAGAAATTACTTTTTTTGCAGCACAAAATTTGTGTGACATGTGAAAAAAAAATCAACATAAAAAAAATTCAACATCAGTAGTATTTGGAAACCTGGATATGACAAAAAAATGTGCATGACTAGCAAACTGCCTAAGTATATAGGCAGGCTCCTGAGAATGCCATTGATTCTGCATCGTCCATGTCACATTTTCCAGAGCAAAATAGTCAGGTGTGCGTTCGGGCGGCATTGGCGCAGTGAGTTTGTCCGAGTACGAATCACAATATATCGGTATATATAGAATGGCCGGCGTCCAACTAGCGCTGCCCGAACGGTGGTGCGCGAGCACGTGGGAGCCACCAACCGCCGATCGTCCGAGTCAGCCGTCAGGCGCGTGTGAACGCCAGACGATCGTGGAAATTTCCCTACATGCGGCGAGTCACGATCAAAACCCGCCTACCCGGTCGCTGTGGCGCCTTGGTGGCGCCACCGCAGGCCACCGCCGACAGGCGACACTAAGTCATGCGCGCCATCAACAAAAGACAGTGTATTGACAGTATTGTATACTTGTAGTTACTAAGTTGATTAGTTGGTACACTGGACAGGGAGTAGAAAAGAACGCGTGGTACAAGTTAGTTGGGTGAGTATACGTAGGCAGTATGGTACAAGAAAACAGCGGAGAGCGATGTTGGGTGGGCACATGTACAATGCAGAAACGAGGGGTAATGAGATATGCAAGGGGAGACAGGAAGGCGAAAGAGCGTGGACCCGCGGGCTGGAGGGAGTGCAGCGAGTAATGGGAGCGCAGGGTAGAGTCGGGAGTTGTATGCATTAAAAGCAGTGGGGGCTAGCGCTGGGCTTTGTCTGTTGCACTTGCTCGGCGCGACTTGCGTCTGCGGAAGAGTGTCTCGATGACGAGCTGCAAGATCACATTAGCAACAAGCAGGACATCGTAAACAGACGCACCCTCAACGCCGATGTCCGCCGCACCTGTGCCTTCGCCTGCTCGTCGTCGGCCTCAGGCTCTTCACTCCCAAGAACATGCGCCTTGCTCCGCCGTCGGTCCTGCTGCTCTTCGTCGTCCGCAGCATACGTATAAGCTGTCTGCAGCCCCATCAGTACCAGCCCCAACACCACGAAAGGCGACCCACCGAATGGATCTCCATAATCTCCCCACGGTACGCCGCCCACGAGACGGGCGAGTGGATCTCCTCCTTCGTCTTCCGGTAGTAGTCCGTCTCTGTGAACGAATTGCGCGGCGTGCCAACACTCGCACTTGACACCGTCGACCACGCGGACGGCGCGTGGTTCGGCTTGGATGCTTTCGCAGGCTTCGGCTTGGGCTTGCTACTCCGCGTCTTGGGTGGCGACGGCGAGCGTTTGCGGCCCAACATGGTTGCACAAGCTAAAGCGGAGAGAAATGGAGTGCCTTCCGAAGTCGCAGCCGAGGGCGTTATAAAGGACGACGTGTAATTACGCCGAAACGTGTACGAGGCCCCAATTTAGCGTGGCGCGCTGTCACCCACGAGGTTGCGGCGCGTGATGTGATTAATGGATGGTTACCGCATTCGGTTAGACACCTGCCGACGTCGCGGGAGGTGCCGGGCTAACTCCGAGCGTGTGGATACGCAGCCAGCGGGTGAGCGAGCGCGTTCCTCGGACGTTGACAAGCGTACAAAGTCCTAGGTGGTTGTAGCGTGCGGTATGTTCGCGGACAGCCGATCCCGCGCAGGCCGTGCGCTGTGCCTTCCATGGCATCTTCGCAGTTTGATTCAAACGCGTAAGCAACAAATGCCTGCAAATGAAAACACGTTCGTCAGCACCATGTATCAACACGCAGAAAGCGGGCCCAAGCGGCGTGCGACCAAGGCAACCACCGGGCCGAGCTCCCCCGGAGGGTCATACGGTCGAGAAGAGATCGGCCTCCAAAGTCCGGTGGGGGTTGCCCGAAGCCCATCTCATCAGCATATGCGTTTATTGCATATATATCAGCTGTAAAGAAACATTGCATGTGCGACTGGGGTAGATGACGGTCCCGCCGGAAGCGGTCTCCAGCTTCAAGTTCCTCCCCTTGCCAGAGCATGTGCCATTTCGAGCACGACGCTGCCGCCAGCACGGGTCAGGAAAAAGACGATCGGAAAGGGCGGAGACAATGGGGGCGGCGAGGAAGAGGGAGGGAAAGAGGCTTACCCGCCCGTGGAGCCCTATCTTGCTCTGCAAACCTGTTCCAGGACAGTCAGAATACCTGCGGGGGAGAGAGAGAGAAAGACACACGCGCGTTCCAATCCCATTCCCTCCGGCCGCACCTCACCGGCAGCTTCCTCTCCGTCGCGCAGATTCCATGCCCCGTGTACGAATGCATTGTGTCGGTGGTAGGCAAGCCGAATCAGAAGCATGGCCAGCGCTAGCGCCCAAAGTTGCACGTCTACGGCGCAGCCATCCATTCCGCCATGTTCCCTCTGTCTGTGTTGTCGCGGTGGCGGTCGTGCTGGTCGTCGTCAACGACGTTGCCAAGCGGTGTCACATCTATCACGCGTGATGATCGCTGATGTCAGAAGGAGTGACGGTGTGACCAATCTATTTTATTCTTCTTCCTTGCTCGTCATCCCGTCACTACGCCGCCCTTCTAGATCATGCGCTTGCTCGACGGTGAAGCTCCATAGTACCATGGCATGGCATTGGGCGAGCCGCTTCGCCGATAAATGCGAAAGAAATGGGAGTCAATGCGGCAACGGCGGAGTGTGGGCGTATGAGCGAAAATCTTGGAAAATCCGGTGAGCTTGTGACTTCAGGTGTACAGCAGCAGATGATGAAGACCACCAGTGAACAGGCTTTCAATCTTGTGTGGTGATGCGAGCGCCGTCACATTCGACCATACATCTTGTCATATGCTGACTCCAAGTTCGTTGTTACGGGTTAGCTGACTTCGATGGGCGGGCGGAAAGGCGGGATGAGCGACGTATTTGGGAGATTGGCTGCCATTTGCCACAGCCCAATCGCGCCGTTCGGCGAGGTCGGCGATGGAGACACGACAAATATAAAGCTATGTCGCACGCGCGTGGCAGTCGGTAACTGAGGAGCCCGACATTGCTGCTTGCCTTTCCCCACCATGCGCCCTTCTATTCTCCTCGCTGCTGTGGCAGCGGAGTCCATCCGAGCAATCCTTCCCCGCGCGACAGTCGACTGCCCTTCCTGCCTTGGCCTCCTTTCCCAGCTGCAGCCGCTGGCAAAGTCCAGCACCGACGCGCTCGTCGTCCAACTGACCGGACTTTGCATCCAGCTGGGCGTGCGTCGTTACTCCCCTCCTTCTTGTTCCACCAGCTGACCAATATTATACCCGCAGGCCGCCCCGGCCGATGTCTGCAGCGGCGTCGTCAATGGCGCGGGCCCCGTCCTCGCGACAGCCCTCCGACAGATCAACGTCACCGGCCCGACAGGCGAGCGCCTGTGTGGAGCGCTGATGAATGTCTGCACGACCAAAACACCCGTGCCCTTTACCGTTCCGTTCCCCAAGCCGCCACCGGTGCATCCCAAGGTCTGGAAATCACGGGGCCGGGTGCCGTTCCGCGTGGCGCATCTTAGCGACGTCCACATTGACCGGGGGTATACCGTGGGTTTTTCGCTTCTATTCCTTCAAGGCTATATTAAATGAATGCTTTTTTAGCCGGGCGCCGACGCAAACTGCACCAAACCACTTTGCTGTCGCGTCTTCCCAGACTCGCCGCCCACACCCAGCGCACCGGCGGGCCCGAATGGCAACGCGCACTGTGATAGCCCCGTGTCGCTGGCGGAGTCGATGCTGGCCGCAGTTGAGCACCTCCAGCCGCGCTTCTCAATCTTCACGGGCGACGTCGCGGAGCGCTTGGTATGGCTTGTTAACCAATCGTACGTGCCGTACTTAGCAGGAAGACCGGGCTGAAAGGCGACGCCCCAGCGATGTCTCGACAGACCTCCATGACTTCAACGTGGAGATGGCGCGGACGCTGTCCGCGCCTGTCTTCCCCTCCGTTGGCAACCACGACACATCTCCGGTCAATCTTTTTGCAAGGAGCACGTCCAACACCGTCAACAATTCGCAGTGGGTCTTCGACATCGATGGCCGCGACTGGGCAGTGCGTAGTGATTTCCCACCCTGCGGCGGTCGGGATGTCTGACGTGATGCAGCGTTGGATCCGGCCTGCTGCTGCCTCTCAAGTCACGCATCATTCAGGGAGCTACTCGGCCCTCGTGCCGGGTACGCAACTGCGTATTCTTGCGCTCAATACACAATATTGGTACATTCAGAAGTAAGTCCCCATGTTCTCGCCCTTGATAATGGCAATGTCGACATTAGTTAGCTTTTGGCTATACGACAGCGACACATTTCAGTAGGTCGACGGTGAAAATACGCCGAGAAAGAAGCACTCATTGTACGTTCTAGACCGGACCCAAATGGCCTGTTCTCGTTTATGGTCTCCCAGCTCCAACAAGCGGAGGATGCGGGCGAGCGTGTTTGGATTGTGCAGCACATCCCGAGTGGGGGGAGTGATTTCTCCGTCGACTCGGTACTGTGATCATGCCTTTCTACCTGCTCCTCCACTGATACGATTGTCTCGCCAGTCGAATCATTACGATCAGGTGCTGCAGCGCTACAAGCACACCATCGCGGGGCTGTTCTTCGGGCACACCCACGGCGACCAGTTCCAAATCGCCTACTCAAATTATAGCGCGCGGACGGCGGAGAATGCAGTTTCTGTGGCGATGATTGTGAGTCCGGATTGGTAATGTCTAAAGTTCTGCGACCCGTTGACGAGTATAGGGCCCATCTTTGACGCCAAACAGTGAGTATTTGAAGCACGTGTGGGGTCTGCTGAGCGCTGGTCAGGCGGGAATCCTGCGTTCAAGCTGTACGAAGTGGACCCTGACACGTACGAGTTGCTGGATTCTACGGTGTACTTCACCAACACCTCGGACGGCGCCTTTCAAAGCTCCCGTACGTCTTCTCTGTGCCCTTTGTGTGATCTGATAACCACAAAGCGACATGGGCTCCGCTGTACTCCGCGCGCGCAGCCTACGGTCCCCTCGTGGACCCGCCGCTCCCGAAAAACGCGCCGCTCGGCCCGGTGTTCTGGCACAACCTCACCGTCGCGTTCCTCGCCAATCAGCCGCTGTTTGATGCGTACATTGCACGGATCAGCCGCGGCGCGTCAGCGTCGGTGTGCAGCGACGCTGACGGGTGCAGGAACAGGACGGTGTGTGACTTGCGTGCGATGCGCAGCCAGGATAATTGTGTGAGTGTTGTATTGTGGGTATCAAGGAAGGCTGTGTGCTCAAGCTAGTGCCGGCGCAGGATGTCCCCACGCCGGGGTTTTCGTTGCGAAGGCGGATGGAGGGCGAAGACAGCGGGCTGGTGGAGACGAAGTGTGAGGGGGTTGGGTTGGCGGACGTCTTTCGGGCGATGGCGGGATGGGCTTAGAACACATATACCCGGTATCGCTGGCTTTATCATGATGTTGGTCGTTTTGCTGACTGGTACAAAATAGCATTCACTCCGCTGTGATGCAATCATGCACAGCTCGCCAAAACTAGTACTTGTACTAGGCCTCGACTCCTTTTATTTTATTTTAGTTTGTGCGCATTTCCATATTAAATCTTGATTAAATCAAAGATGATGTGTCATGGTGACAGCGATCAACTCTTCTTCCTTTTAGCCCATGACGACGATGCGCGTCCCCAGTTCTTTTTCCTCGTCATCCCGTCCGAATATGAAGATTCAAGCCGACCCGGTTTTCCCCGGCTGTACTTCTCGGACCGCTCTCGCCTGGGCGAGAGCCTAGGCGTAGAGTCTTGCGGTTTGTGTTGTCGCGGGGTCAGGTGCGTTCATATCGTTCCTTCTCGCTGCCGACCCTTGCTCGTTCATATATAGCGTCACCATTGGCAGGCTTCGCCCCTTTAAGTTTTTCGTATTGCATCTGGATGCTCGGAGCGGCGTTTCTTCAGGCCAGGCGCTTTCACATTATCCACTCGGGGTGATTTTGAACTGGAAGACCTGCACGGCCTGCGACGGGGAAGTCGTTTTCCTCGGCCAATTGGTTCTCCACCCGGCGATTGCGTGCAATTTCGGTCAGCAAGCGGCGAATCACGTCGCATCGCCTCAGCATCGCGAAACGTCTTTGCTTCTTCTTCTTCTGGCTCGGCGGAGCGCTGGATTACCTCCGTTTGTTTCCCATTCCAGGTATTTCTACGCCATCGATTGGCCTCAGACACGGTTTGGCTCTTGAAAATACCCAAACTGCCCCAATCCTCGGTGTTCCCTTCGAAGGACCTGCATCATGCCCCGTATGCTGCCCACCTACACCACTTATTCCCACATTCATCATCGAGCACTCCGTCTCCGACCGAGAAAGCTTCCCAATTGGCTAACCGTGCCCCTTCGGATCCACTGTAATGTCGCAAATGAGCCCTTCGCCAGGCCTCGGAACCAGAAGCAGCGCTCTAACGCCGTCGGTCAGCAGCTTGCAAAGCCCGCACGACGACTTATATATACTGCCGGCAACAACCAGTTCCCCTCAATCCGGATCCTCACGCCCGAGCCCTGTGCCCATGGGCCACACACTTCCTCCTGAGCTCGTTGCGGATGTCGTCGAGCATCTTGATTATCAAGATGTTGCAGGGGCAGACAGGCAGACAATTCGCGCCGCGTGTCGTGCGGCGCGGGCCTTCAAGTACCCTTGTCAGCGGTTGATGTACCGCACCGTCCTGCTCAACGGCCACAACCTCCCCAGCACCAACCGTCATTTCGTCGCGTTCCCGCATCTTGCGCGACATGTCAAAGAATTACATCTGCAGTACAGCGAGGGAGGTGATTATGCAGTTCTGGAAGGCCTGCTGCGTCGATTCATCAACATCACCGTTTTCACCGTAAGCGCAAATGCGCCGAGCACCATTTGGAGCACCCTACCGGCACCCTTTCGCAGTGGAGTCCAGCATCTATGGCGGCGAGGCAGCTTCCAGAGCGTTAATCTGCACCATTTCGGTGATATATCGATGGAACTCATGGGGGAGGTATTGGGAACGAGCGGGCAGGTCGGGCTCTTCGATGTTGCCGTTGCTCAAGGTCAAGAGGGCGACTCTATTCCCGAAGCGCAAGCGGGACCAACGGACATCGTTCGATTCGAGACGAACGCACCATCACTGACCTCCCCCATTCTTCGACTTCTTTACCCCCGCACGCACGCGCTGCGGATTCTGATCGTCAATCAGCTCGAAATTTCGGCTGAGATCGAGGAAAACCTAAGTCCCCTGCTCGGTGCTGTCCAACTGACACTCGAGCACCTGTCGCTCGCCCTTTCCGGCCGTCGCCATGCCCCTGCTCGGCGAACGGCTCTGCTTTCCCTCCCTGCCCTTCCGCGTCTCATCTCTCTCGATCTTCGTTTCGCATTCCCCGACCCTCGCGTCTGCAATGCCCCGGAATCCCACCCGCCGCCACCGCTTTTACTGCTTCTTCTTCTTACACTCCTTCCCACGGCCCCTGCGCTCCGACAGCTAACGCTGCATGCGGAGATCCCCGTTGACTACGAGTACGCGACCCACATGCCGACCAGCTGCGCAACTCTGGTAGAGCTTGATACGCTGCTCGCGGCGTACATTCTGATGTGCCCGGAAACCCCGTCGACCCATGAGGTTCACTATGTTCCGCACTTCGTCCATGACACCTTGATGGGAAATCAAGAGGGTGTAGATCTAATAGTGTACAAAGCTGCCTTACAGGAGGCTATGCCGCGTGCCATGAAGCTTGGAATACGCGTGTTGGAGTGCGCGAGCTGCACTGGGCGGATTGAGGAATTTTCTGTATAAGAACTGGTAGATAAAGAAGTAGCAGGTTTCTTGATGTATTCCAAAACATGGCTTATCCTCCCCTGCATGCAACAAGCCTTAATCTGCCGCAAAAACCCTTGGAAGTAATGGTGGTGCCTTCACATGGATAAGGCTGACATTAAGCAACAAACAGATGCCTCTGCCAGTGCAACCATATGATCATTTTCAGCATCCATCATAGCTTTCAACACTGATGACCAGTCAGTTGGCTTAAAGAGATTACCAAGGGGGGGGGATATATTATACTCGCACGGTCCACAGCCTGGGCCCTGAACAACGAGTTTACCAAAGACAGAAGTAGCTACGTCAGGGTGGTTATCCTAACACTAAATACTATCATTGGAACACACACCAAGTGTCGCCTCTAGTTGCTCCTTAGCTATGGGTAGAGTCATTGAATCAGAATTTGCAAACTCAAGCATGCCCTTCCAGCCTTCTTGACACCAGATTCAACACTGTGGCAGTTGCCATATCTTCCATTTCATGTTCGGAGTCCGAGCAGTCTGAGGGTGCATCAGGAGCAACAAATATGTTGTCCCACTCAGCATCAGGCTCAGGCGGACATGTTTTCATGTGCTTGAAACAGTTGGCAATTGTCTCTTTAGTCCCACCATCCCATGCTGTTTTGAGCATTTTCATGCGAGTAAGGAGGTCAATTTTGAATGGGTGGGAGCAACCATAGGGTGCTGTGAGTTGAACCTGTTTCGAAACCCGTTTCGAAACAGTTTCGAAACAGGTGTGAGTTTTGAAATGTCCGCGGCCCGACCGCGGTTTCGAAACAGGCACGTGACATATCCAAGATGCCCGGACACGTGTCTGGCACGTGAATCGGTCTCCCGGGACTGCAGCAGTAGCTACAGACACATGTGCGGCCTATGAGCATGTGTTCTGATATGCGGCTCGCTCCCTGGGCCGGCCTCTCTGTCATCGGCCCCGTCAGGCTGTCACCGACCGGCGGTGACTTGCCTCATCAAGCCACCCGGTTTTGAAACTGTTTCGAAACGGGCCTGTTTCGAAACCAGTTTCGAAACAGCAGTGAGTAATTCTTTTTGAATTACTCACAGCACCCTAAGCAACCATACTGTAGCATTTTATTCAGTTCATATGTTACATGTCACACTAGCTATAAAATTCGAAAGATTTTTGCATGTCACACCATTTTGCTCGAAAACCTCTCCCAAAATAGCAATGTTTGACAGTTCCTGGCGCCTCCAGCACGGGACCAACCAGATTAGGCCCGCACACCTAATCGGGAAATACTGCACATGCCCACAGAATACTGCACATCATACAAAACACTGCACTATGCATCCTAAAATACTGCACTATCTCGGCCACTCAGCAACAACTTCAATTAACAATTGCAAAGTTGATTTGATGCTCTGTACAAGTTCATCTACTTCGTCTATGCTGTACAGTACCATCTAACTCCCCGCCGTACAACTCAAAGCACCACCACTTATAATCGCTCACTGAAGGGCTTGCGGAGGGGCTGAGCGACACCTGTGGCTGCTGCTGGGAAGGCATCTGGGGTAGAACGGCGCGGGAATGGAGATCGCGGGCTCGGATGTACATGCCTTGTGCATATTCCGGCCGTGTTGTCGTTATGGCTCTTGCACTTGTACCTAAACCCAGTTGACCAGCTCCGTTCTTGATAATAAGCACCCACCTGTAGATGACCGGGCCCTCGCTGCTCCACCTCCACTGCCCATCGGTCCTACAAGTGGCTAACGGCCTAGACGAGCTGCAGATCACGCCGTGCCACACGGTTACTGTAAGTGCCAAATTGATCTTTGGCGGCAAAGGCGAAGGCGAAGAGTAGCGTGCATAGGTGCATAGGGAGGGTAGGAGAAAGGAAGGGAAGGGCTCGCGGCTGCAGTCATGCCATCGACGCCACCATGCTGCTAGCGTTCATGTCTTTGTGAGCGCCCCAGCGCATGCACTTGCGGCTATATTAGCTCTGTTGAGACCATGCAAAGACCACTCACCGGTCGCTCAGCCCCATCTCCAAGCACCGCACCAGCACACAACTGTGCGGCTACCTCCTCACCCACGAACTGGCCTCGAAGCCGTCTTCGATGTGCGTAAAATCAAGGGAATCGGCTCCTGCTCACAGCTTTCGCTGCACCATGAGAATATAAACACAGGAGTCGTGATTTATGGCCCGATTGACACACCTTCACTACCCAGATGCCCTGCCATTCCACCTTTGCATTCCGCATTATACCTGTCAGAGCGCATGAGATCGATGCATTCGAATACACAAGGCATCGAGTGAGGCAATTGGAAGGAGGAAGGGGTAATGACAGTCGATGGCAGCGGCAGCAGTGGACGAAGGGTGGTGGTGGTTAGCGGAAGAGAAGGGTTGTCACACCCGACATGTCACATCAACAACACACGACCTCACACGTGATGCGGAGTTCCCAAATACGGGAGTGCAAAATTTCAGATTTCAAGTGCCGGATTTTGCGCCAAGTGCCGGATTTCAGCGGTATGTGCTGTATTTCCTAATTAGGTGTGCGGGCCTAATCTGGTATAGACTCCCTCCGGCACCAAGAACTTCCTAATTAGGAAATAATTCCAATGGATATTTTTGTATTAGATGTCACACTACTTTTGGCATTCGAATTGAATAAAATTCGACAGTACTTGTAGAGATCAAGGGTGCAAATGCAGAGTGCATGTTGGTAACAGTGCATAATGCCTGTGTCGCAGCGCTGGATGTATACTGTCATGTTAGGCTTGTAGTAAATCAATTCAATATTCTTTAGCTCATATCCTATATAATGACTAGAGAAGTTGTTGAGTGTGAGTGTAATGTATCATTTCTCTTTCTTCATTCTTATGTCCAGCTTGCGAACCGATCTGAAGACTGTCAAGCACCGGCAAGTGCTCTGCTCATGGTAACAATGATGACTACCCTGCGATGCTGGGCTGAGGGAGACTGATTATAATATCAAGATACAAGATAAGCTGCTGGCACAGAAGAAGGCTAAACCATGTAATCTATTACTACGTTATCAATTGTTGTTTACTCGTAGATTTTTGCGTAATCTACTATTCAATCTATTATTTCACCGATAATACTCATTACCAATCCTGACAATGTAGACACCAACAGCATGCTGAAGAATGTTGAAGTCCTTGATGTTGACACAATAACTGTAGATACCCAACCAAAAATAGTGGACCCCGACATGATTAATATGGTAGCACTGGCTCCCGATGGTGTTGTCCAGCTGCTGAATCACCAGGCAACACGTCAACTCATTCTCGACAATTTCTTTTGGTATATTCAGGATACACAGAAGGAGCTTGCAGTATGAGTTGACAGCGGACTGGATCTCTTGCTAATTATCATCATTAGGCAGTCCAAGGGCTCATCACCATTCATGTGAACTGCTAGAGCAGCGACAATAGTGACGGTTACTTTGATGGGTGTGGAAGCTGGAGATATGGATCATTGGCTTTATAAATCTTGTTCACCATTCTGGCAAGTATCTTTGTTAAGAGTTTGTCAATGTATGTGAACAGGTAAGTATTTTGGGGAAGGTATGAATATATTTCTAGCTTCAACTGTGGCTTATCTTGAGTGCAGGTTGGATATGTTACATCGGATGGCCCAACGGTCAATGACAAGATGATGACAGAAATGGCACGGCTTATTGCAGAGAAAACCGGAGAGCATTATAATGCTGTCAAATGTTGTGTCCAGTAAAATTAATGCTGCACCAGTGTCTGATGTGATTCTCATTGTTCAACAGCTGCATCTCCCATGTTGTGAATATTGCCATCCAGAAATTCATCTCGATGACTAGCAAATCAGCTACCTTTGATGTAAAGAACCCCAAGGCTCATCTCCCTGCAGGTATTGATGTATCAGGCAAAGTCCGTGCAATTGCAGTGAAGGTCAATTGCTCTACTCACTATGTTTGCACACTGATTATCACAGGCATGGTTGAGTGAGAAGTAACATGATCAATTTAACCAGGTTCAAGAGAGTGTTGAAGGACAGAAGTTGAATGAGGGTGAAAAGTTGATTCATTCTCCTTTATGAATGGCCGCAGTTACCAATTACATGATGAAACAACGCAATCAACTGAAATTGGACATTGTTGTAGCCTTTCAGACCCTTAAGTTTGCATACAAAAACAGCTGTAATTCCGAGAACAGCATGCTTCACTCAAGTATGAGGAGGAGCTTGAGGCAGCAGAATTCCACAAGGTCAAGCTCCAGATAGGTCTCAAAGCAAAGAGAGTCGATGTAGTGTGGAATTGCGAGCTAGACAATGACTGTTATGAGGACAGCAAGGACGAGGGTGCCAATGGAGCTGCTGTTGACTCAAGTCTAAACATTTTGTAGGTACTACTAGTATGCAATTGAAACAAGGTGTTAACCACACTAACGGGGCCCAAGCCCTGAGCCCTGGGCAGGGCCAGGGCTTGTGGTTTTTCCTGGCCTGAGCCCTCCAAGCCCAGCCCTGCAAATCACTACCTAGTAGCAACCTCAGTGGAGCAATCTCGGCACTGGTTGCAAACTCAGTGGTAGTTGTGGGGGGGATGAGGAGTTCTATTAAAAGATGATATAGACTACAAACAAATAGCCGCATCGAATATTGATGATGAGCATCCTAAAGCAGAAACTGTCTCATATGGGAAAGCTATGTAAGGCACATTCCACACTTCCACATCCGCATACTGAACTGATGTCAGCCCAAGACATCAATGGGAGAGAAGCATCAATGTCAATATGATGTTGGCCGAAGATATTCAGCTATCAGAATCAGATGCTGAACGTTGGATTGTTATCATGGAACTGTCCATAGGATATCGCAAGGCACATCATGCCAATATCTTCTCTTGGTGTTTAGGAGATAAGAAATCCAAAATGTGTCAGTGACCATAAGATGGCTTGCACATCTAATTCTATAAGGGTTCTGTAACATATATCTGTAAGGGCAACCCTGGAGACTCCGACGA